ACAGAGAAGAAAGTCACTCACAAATAAATTTAACCAAAAAGTTCAAAGATTGTGTGTGTGTGTTTCTCTGTCTGTCTGCCTGCCTACATGCCTGTGTGTCTGTATGATGTGTGTGTTTGTCTGTCTGTGTCTGTGCATCTGTGTGTGTGTCTGTATGTGTGTGTGTGTTTGTCTGAATGTGTACATTTGTGTCTGTATATGTCTGTGCATCTCTGTGTGTGTCTATGTCTGTGCATGTGTGTCTGTGCTGGGATTTTTGTGCAAGTGTGTGTGCAGATATATGTTCGTGCGGAGTAAGAAATGAACCCCCAGTGTTGTTCCTCAGGAGCTGTCCACCTTGCTTTTTGAGACGAAGTCTCCCACTGGCCTGGAGCTTACTGGGAAACTAGGCTGGCTGGTCAGCAGGTCCCAAAGATCTACCTTTTTCTGCCTCCACAGCACCAGGGACTAAAACCTAGCTTTTTTATGAGTTCTGGGGGTTGAAGTCAGGTGCTCATGCTTTTGTGACAAGAACTTTACTGACTGAGCAAAGGATATCTGCCCCTAAAACTATAAAAATGACCAGCCCCTACTCTTCTGCTGTTCCATGTTCTTCCATCATAACCCGGCTCCCTCTTCTTACATTCTTTTATCCTCGCTGTACTCACATCCCCTTGTTTTGATTATCCTAGACATACAACACTGCCCCCAGCACACACATGGTTCAAGTGCAGAGATTGGAGATGGGACTGTAAGGGTTAGAGACCAAGAGCACGCTCTGGGGTCAGACAAGCTTTGGATCACATTCCAGTTCTCCCATTTTCTAATTTAATAACCTTGAGAAAACCGTCCCATTGATTGGCACCTCGGTTTCCCTTTCCCTGTGCAAATGAAAGAGAACAGCAAATCCCATCTCACTGAGTTGCTCAGAGAGGCGGACAAGCAACACACGCGAGGCCTAGAGCTTGTCATCTGCAACTCTCATCCTCACGAGCTGCCTTGTTAATACCCTCCTCGGACTCAGAGTGCTGAGCGTGAGCACGAAGCCAGGCTTTACCCACTCCCAGCATCAGCAGGTGTTTAATCACTGTCTGCCATGCTTTCCAGCCTCAGCAACATGCCCCAAACTAAAGCTGCACAAGGCACAGTCTCCATCCTGTGAACGGTGTCTCGTATCTATGTGTCTCCAGCACTCTACCCGATATGGTCATCAAAAGATGCTTGTGGGGTTGAATAAAGTTTAAAATGTAGTTATGAGCACAATTCATGTTCACATGGCTGGCAGAGGGTGATGATAATAAGAAAGTATGACAGAGAAGCTTGTGATTGTGATGTTTTTAACTCTTAAAAGCAAAGAGAACATGATTTATATGTGACCTGATTGTTTCAACTTAAAGACTCTCATAGTTTTCACTCATATCTCCAGGAATGCGTAAAAACACCTCTTGGTGGATGAACAACCTTGGGCAGAGGAACTGCTGCCAGGTCACAAAAGTGATGGGCTGGTACACAGCAGCCCGCTTAGGTACAACCTGTACCACTGCCTGGGCATGCCTGAGGCTTGGCACCCAAGGGAAATCAGCAACGCTGATAACCACTGCATCCAATCCAAGGAGAGGGTGGCTTCTGACGGGTGTGTGAAAGCCAGCATGTGTCCAAAAGGGCCCCAATTGCAAACTGCACTGGAATAGCGAAGGAAAAGGAAAAAATGCAATTGAACAAGTCCCTGGAGACCCAGAAACACAAGTGACCTCACCTCCAGCCTGACACCTCACACCACCTGACAGCCTGGCTTTAATTTATAAACATAGATAGAAAGTTTGAGTGTCTAGTTTTGCTTTTACTAGGGGGAAAAAAAATAGCTATCAGATCCCCCTTTGATACCACTAAACAGCCTCAAGGATAAAGTCCGAAAGTGAAAATACAGTCACCTCACACACACACACACACACACACACACACACACACACACACACACACACACACACCGGCAAGAGCACTTGGGCAGAAACCCGTGATGCAGACTCGGCTGTGAGGTTTACCAGGAAGGCAGGCTGGCCCTAGAAAACAGCCTCGCGTGGGTAAGAGGTGAAAGACACTTAAGCATGGCTGCCTTCTAAAACCCAAAAAGATAATTAAACTTAGCCTCTTCAGAAAGCAAAGTTAGAAAAGAGAGCGGGAAAAATATATTCTCTTACTTCCGAGCATAATCAAGAAGAATAAAGGACTCATTGGGTTAAAACATTAGAGTCACCTGGTTTTGTTGGCTTTGTTCCCGTGAATATTCCTAAGAGGCCAACAATGCACCGCTCTGCATTCTACTTCCTGCCTATTCACTTGGGCACACACACACAGGAGGCACTACCCAGAATATCACAGGTTAGGGAGCAATCAGGATCAAGACTGAGAAAGCTGGGGCTGAAGAGATGGCTCAGTGAGTAACAGTAGTGACTGTGCAAGCATGCGAACCTGAGTTCAGATACCAGCATCCACATAAAAAGCTGGCCATACGTGTACACACACACATATCACACATGTGCATGCCTATGACCTAAACTTGGTAGGGAGGTGGAAGACAGGAGGATGGCTAGGTCTTGCTGACCAGCAATCTAGCTTCAGGTTCAGTAAGAGACAGAGTAAGACACCTAACATCCTCCTCTTCTGGCCTGCACAACATGTGGGGGGGGGGGGGGGATAAGAAGGAGGAGGAGAGAAAGGGATGTGTGTGTGTGTGTGTGTGTGTGTGTGTGTGTGTGTGTGTGTGTGTGTGTCCCTCTTCTCTTTCCCATTAGGGTACAGAGTACAGCATGTACTGTGAGAACACTGTAGAAACAAAAATGCTTTGGGAATAATTTCCCCCCAAAGCCCTTTCTCTTGAGAAGTGACCTCATCCCCAATCCCCACGGTCACGGCAGAGAAGAAGGTCATGTTTGTACAGCTGTCATTCAACCCCCTGGTCCTGTTTGACCTGTTTGCAAACAAGGGCCTCTTTGTCCAGAGACATAAGAAAAAGAAGAAAGACATGGCCATTCTACTGGTAGAAAGAAGAGAGATGCAGTCAGTCTCTTCATTGGCTAGAACTCTATTCAATACGTACACCAAGACAATGGAGACCCACATTCCACTAAACAGAGAGAACCCAGGCTGACTGAAGAAGAGAACTACGAAGCACACACATCTCTACAGACCAGGAGGGCAGGACTGGAGAAGGAATCCTACAGGACTGGAGAAGGAATTCTACAAGAGTCCTCAGAAGCTCCACCACAGTGCAGCTCTTCCTGAAGCCAGCAGCCAGCCTCAGCACCCTTGCACCATTCCAATGAGCAACCTCAAGTGTGTTCTGTCACTTGCAACCAATAGATACGAGAAGCGTAGGACACAACGCAAGTCTGTCCTAGCACAGCCATTCATGTGAAGGTCACTGGGCTGAGAAGGTCAGGGCTTTACCGCCTCTACCTGGGGCCTCGAAGAAGAGTGAACATTTGCCAATGAAGGATGGGATGTGAGCCTCCTTGCCAATGAAAGATGGGATGTGAGTCTAGAGCCTACACTTCACTACTTCTATGACCGAATAAATACATTCAACCCCTGGTCTTAGTCAGGGTTCCTAGTGCCATGAAGAACACCATGACCACAGCAACTATTATAAAGGAAAACATTTAAATGGGGCTGGCTTACAGTTTCAGAGATTTAGTCCATTATTGTCATGGTGGGAAGCAAGACTGCATGCAGGTAGACATGGTGCTGGAGAAGGACCTGAGAGTTCCACACCCACAGGCAACAGGAAATGAACTGAGTCCCACACTGGGCATAGCATGAGCATATGAGACCTCAAAGCCCGCCCCCACGGTGACACACTTCCTCCAACAAGGCCACACCTACTCCAACAAGGCCACACTTCTAATTACATCACTCCCTATAAACCAAGCATTCAAACACATGAGTCTATGGGAGTCATACCTATTCAAACCACCACACCCACATTTCACACGGCACCTAGCACAAGGCAGGTACTCTCCTGTAAGAAGAAAGAAGATAGTGGAGACGATAGGAGTATACTGGGTGTACTTATTGAATCATCTTTCACCAATAAAATGGGAATGCAGACCACTTCATGTATCTTACAGGATCAAGATATGATTAACAACTATTAAAAGGTTCAGACTGATGACAGATAAAATACAAAACCACTTGAGTGAATGAACAACATGTATTTATCTAAAGTGCAGCAAGCTATAATTTCCACGATGAATACAGCCTGCTATCTGTTTTCATAGGGACCACTGGATAGAATTTTATTTTATTTTACAAATGACTATGTGTAGCCAATTTAATAATAAGAAACCTCAACTTTTAAATATTATCTCTCCCAAAAGGGATCCCATCCTTTTGATGAATAGACTTGTGTGTAAAACAATTATACTTAATTATTATTATTACAGCTTTCCTAATACAGGATTTAATAGATGAACAAGGAGTCAACTCAGTCAGAGACACAGTGATAAAATTAATTTTCCCACCAGGGGCATTACTTTGAGATTGCAGTTTTGCAGATAAGAGGGTGGTGCTGGTATTTTTCTTTTCTTTTCTTTTCTTTCTTTCTTTCTTTTTTTTTTTTAACAAATGCACATATTGTGGTCTAGCAGAAAACAAGCACAATAATTTCTCAGTGAGTGAAAGTGACATCACATCTTCTAGGAGTTCCACTACTCCCTTCCAGCCTAGGCTAAACCAGTCTGATCCATGAGAGAAACCACCTCAGCTAGGCCAAGAACACATCGCTAATCTCAACAACCCAGTGCCGCACTCCTTAGAACATATTCAGACTGGTTTAGCCTGGTTAAACTTTGGATTTAAATAACAATTATTAAGAGAAATTTTGTGGATATATTTATTCATTAACTCCCTTTTTTTAAAAATATCACCTCATGATACTCTTTTATTCTGTCCTATTCAATACCCAACTGATTCCTCCATGTTTTCTTAAAATTAATGTTAGTTCAAAGTACAAGCAAGCTTACCTTCTGGGCTCCATGTCTTAAAAAGGTACTAGCAAAAGTTTCCAATATGCAGTTGAGAAATCCAGCCCCTGTGATCGAAATTCTGCCTCTTTGAATAAACTCTGTCCTGAAAAAAGAAAAAAGAAAAAAAAATCTATATACACACATAAAATTCATCTCCATGGCTATCTGCATAAAATAAAGCAAGCCATGAGTGTAGGATGGACACTCAATGGGAAGAAGATCCTGCTAGGCTGGGAGAGGGAAAAGGAAAGGTAATAGGGCATCAACATGATCACAATCCATCTTTTACTCGCAATTGTCAAAAACACTCATCTTTCATGAGACTTTGCATTCTGATATATAAATTATAGACACTTTCAGTAGCATAATTACCATCTAAAATTAACATGAAATAATATCCATAATAATTGAATAATTACTGTTAAAACAAAAGATTCTATTTAAGGTTAACCTAACTACGTAGAGTTTATACAGTACAAACAACAATCATTTGAATTAAAGAATATTCATTTCATGATGCAAAAATGCCTCTTCAAGAAGCTACTGCAACCATTTTGCTAGAGTGATATAGTTTCTAATTGCCTTCCAAATACTTACTTCTCATGCCCATAGATTAATGCAGCTCTCATCCCTTACCAAAGAAGCTTTTGCAGCAGATGGAGGCCATCCCAAAGAACCACAGCTGGTCGGGGGGTAGGGAACCAGTGACTGTGGAGTTTCCATTCGTACACGGGTCGTCTATAGTACAAGCCCTGTCCCAAAGCTCGGGAAACATCCGAGAAGAGAGGCAGAAAGATTGCAAGAGCCAGAGGACAGGGAGGACTGCTGTCCTCTGGACATGGTGAAGACGTTGCACCCAGGAACCCTCAACCCCTATGGCTGCCTACACAAAACCTGCACCAGATCACACCAGTCAACATTCCTGCATGGGTGGGGAAAGGGTTCATGAGCTGACAAGCTAATGATGACCCACAATGTCTGAGAGAGTCAGTTTTCATCACCGACAATCCCCCTGATAGGTTGTCCATGCCTAAGTGGCCAGCCATACACCCATGAACGTATGGTCAACACTGACTGGACTCAGTAGGGTGTGTGTATATGTGTATATATACATATATAATTACAGGTGAGAATACAAAGTTGAAAGGGAAGGAGGGACATAAAAGGAGCTGAGAGGATGCCGGGCAGTGGTGGCGCACGCCTTTAATCCCAGCACTCGGGAGGCAGAGACAGGCGGATCTCTGTGAGTTCGAGGCCAGCCTGGTCTGCAGTGCGAGATCCAGGAAAGGCGCAAAGCTACACAGAGAAACCCTGTCTCGAAAAACCAAAAAAAAAAAAAAAAAAAAAAAAAAAAAAAAAAAAAAAAAGGAGCTGAGAGGGATGTAGATAAGATTAAAATGCATTGTACTCCTGTATAAAATTCAAAAATTAAAACAATTAAAAAAGAAATTATCACTCTTTGGAGGAGGGTTGCTGCTTTCCTCATGGCAGAGTCTCACTAGGTAGCCCTGGCTGTCCTGGAACTCTATAGACCAGGTGGCTTTGAACTCAAAGAGATCTACCTGCCTCTACCTCCCAAAGGGAGGGACTAAAGCTATGCACCACCACGCCCAGCTAGAAACGCTTAATTTGCAATTGAGGGGACTACAGTGCAGTTAATATCTAAATACATGTATTTCATGGCAATCCGGACCAAGAGCCCCTCTCATTATATGACTAACATGAACTCACTCCATGACAATAAATGCAGTTAGTTAGTTCCTCTGCTTAAAAGCAAAATGCCTCTTAAAAATGACATCTGAGACCAGTTTCGGCTTCCTGACCTTAAATAAATTGTTTACTTTCTATAACCAATTTCCTCCCATGTACATGGGACCATAATATCACCCATTTACAATATTATAAAAAAGGAGTTTACATGTATAACAGGGATATGCAGAATGACTGACGCGTGCTAAGCATTTGCTAGAAATTCTAGCAACGGTTGCTAAAGAGAGGCAGGCAGGCAAACGCGGAGACTGCAAAGCCAGAAGTCTGGAATAGGTACTGAGTCCTGGCCCAGGAGGAACAGGGAACAAATGTGTTACCATTTCTATCATTTTAATTATCAAAGCTCTACCAGTATTAATTATCCCCATCTCATAAAACAGAGATTTGGGTTACACTTGAGAATGATATAAGATGGCTGAACAGGAAGCCTCCAGCTCTCACCCCACCCCCCATAAAGACAATGACTTAACAAAAATTTACAAACAAAATTGCCTTTGTGAGACCTCCTGAAACCAATTAAGAGGTGGAAGAGTATACCCAAGTGAGGACAGAGCCAAGAATAGTCCCATCAAAGCCAGTGAAGTGCGCTGCTTTTCCTCACTGTAGGAAGAACCGTCTGTAGCTGCGGCCGAATTACTAACATGAGCAGCTGAAGGAAGGAGAGGTTCCTACTGGCTATTGCTGGTGTTTGTTGTGAGACTCGGTGTTATATAACCCAGGCCGGCCTCAAACTCTGTGTGGTAGGGACTGGCCTTGAAATTCTGATCTTCCGTCTCCAGCTCCCAAGGGCTGAAGTATAGGCATACGCCACTGTGCCCCACTGGAAGAGAGGTGTGTTTCAGGTCCTGGCTCATGGGATAATCTGTCATGCTGGGAAAAGTCTGGCTGCCTGGCCACCCCGGGCTCTGTGCCATTGGGAGGCAAACCAAGAAAGGAAAATCCAGGCACTCAGCTAGCTTTCTTCTTTTTCCCTTTTTTCTCCAGTCCAGGACCTCAGCCCAGGGGATAGTGCCACCCACATTCAGTACAGATTTTCCCCAGATTAGCTTAATCCAGTCTGGAAAAGCTCTTACAGATACATTTAAACCTGTCCCTCACTACTGCCCCTAAGTGATCCTTAATCCATCTGAATTAGCCATCACACTCCAGATAGCTCCCTCCCAACTAGCACAGTGGGGCAGAATGGGTGGAAAACTACAAAGGCTTGTTTCTCCCACAGAAGAGAAAAAGGAGATAAATGTGCATCGATACTGTGGCTCTAGCAGGCCTTGCCTGAGGACGTACTCTGGGGAATGGAAACAGTATACTTGGATGCTTGCTGGTCACTGAGAACTAAAGCCAGCACAGCATGCTGATACAGCCCTTAAGAGTCTGTGGAACCACCAGCAAAAACGAGAGGTTATAGGCTCGGCTCTATGACAGGGCAGACTTCTGCATCTGAGAAATCACATATACAGTCCCAGAGATGCTCAGAAGAAGTTTGAGAGGCTGGCACACTCCCAGCTGAGCTGGGTGAGCCAGCCCATGACAAATGGGAGAGGTGGTCGTTGTTTCATAGAGTCAAATCTCTCTGAAAGATCACAGGACGGACACAGGAACACACACACACACACACACACACACACACACACACACACACACACACAAACACACACACACACACACACACAAACACGGCGGGGCAGTGGGGGAAATGGCCCAGTTATTGAAACAAATAAATGTCTAGAAACTCACCCTAAAGAAACAGGCATATGAATTACCTGACAATTAATTTGAAATAATCATTTTTAAAAATGTCCAACTAGACATTCAAACAACTACATAAACTCGGGGAACTGAAACATGAACAAGATGAGACTATCAACCAAGACAAACCTCTTTAAAAGCTGAAAGCAACAGCAGCAAGGGACTTGAGGACAGGCTGTTCCAAAGAGGAAAATGAATGAAGAGACATGGTGAGAGCTTTGGAGGCCTACGGAGGCTGTCAGGTGGGCCCACTCACACACTGTGGAGTCTTAAAGGGGAAATCAGTGCCAGTGGAGAAGGGAGATTATATAAAGCAATAATAGCCCAAACTTCCCAAATTTAAAAGAAAAGGAAATGTGCATACAAATTCAAAATCTCAACAAACTCCAAGTGGGAGACGTCTAAGGAGATCTACACCAGACACATTATACGTGTCAAAAGTCACAGGGGGAATATCGAAAGCACCAAGAGTAAGGTAACCTGCCACATGCAAGGAGCTTCCGGGAGGTCTGCAGTGGATTTTTTTTTTTTTAAATCAGAAACTTTGCAGGCCAGAGGGAATTGGGTTGATATATTCAGCACGCCAAAAAGAAAAACTATAAACCAAGAATTCAGCAAAACTACCTTCCAGATATGAAAAGGAAATTAAGATTTCCAGCTATACAAAAGCTGAACATATGCATCTCCACTAGAGAGTTGGGCTATAGTTAACCTGGCCTAGTTCATTGTTTGAAACCACAGACTACATAGTTACTATATGCTAGATATTACATATCATATATAATCACAAATATATGTAACATATATATTTACATGTATATGTGATTACATGACTCTATATTACATATCATATATAAAAAATCACAAAAATATGTAAGTATAGTATATATATTTATAATGATATGTAACATATAGCATATGTGATATCTATATATAGATACATACCTATGGCAGAGCTAGTGAAATGACCCAGTGGATGAAAGTGTTTCCTGGCAACCATGAGGATCAGAGTTCAAATTCCCGGCACCCACATTAAAAAACTAGGTGCAACCATGCACACCTGTCTGTAACCCCAGGGCTATGGCAAGTGGAGGCAGGAGGATCAAGGGACCTGACGGTGGCCAGCCTAGTTCCTGGTTCAGAGAGAGAACCCTGTCTCAAGGAAACAGGGCAGAGAGTGATTGAGTAGGACACGCAGCGTCTTCCTCTGACTTTCACACACACACATGCCCATACCCTCACACACACAAATATACACATTCACATCACACACGTACACCTTACGTGTACATACTACACACACACAAAAAAAAATGGCAGCCTTGAATTTCAGTTTTATAAAAATAAAACACTCCTTTTTAAAACAGTGCTACTAAGAAACATTTTCAGTTAAGGCACCTGCTAACTTTGGGCTCGCCCTTCACTTCAAATCTCTTAAGGCACCACTTAGTTTTCCCTTCCCCACACCATACTGAAAATGAGAGGCTCTTCCGGGACCTCACTGTGTAACAGGAAATGAAAGGAACAAGTAAGTGAGTGACCGAATAAGCTGATGGCAAAGCATACCAACAGAGAAAACCCATAGGG